GGAAAGATCCCCTGGAGGAGGGCATGGCAACCCACTCCAGGATTCTTGCCTAGAGAATCCCCGTGGACAGAGGAGCCTGGTGGGCTGCAGGCCATGGGGTCGCAAAGTGTCAGACATAACTGAGCAGCTAGAACATACAAGCCCAGTGCTACTGACTCTGAGACAGATGGGTCAGAATGCAGGTCACAGTCTGAGAAGCAGATACTTGACAACTCAATATGCCGTTACAGAGGTGTGTGCACACGCCTGGGAGCTGAGGTGCCCAAGCCACTCATTCTGTCAGTGAGTCAGGGATGACCACTGTGAGTGCGTTTGAGCTGAATATTTTTTTTTAAGTCGAATCTTGTTTTTTGCTAAACCCAAAAGATCACTCTGGGCAGACAGGACATCATATGCAGAAGGGCAATGATAAGAATATTCTGGAGTGGGGAGTAGAAAGAGCTTCAGTGTAGCTGGAGAGAAAGGGCCAGAGGGCAATTGTGGGTGAGAAGCGGATGGGGGCCTGCAATGCATCCTGACAGCTTAGTCATCTGCTCAGGAACTTGGTGTCTTTCTTGAGGTCAACACAGGGTAAGAGGGTGTTTCTAAGCAGGCGGTGACATGGTCAAACTGGTTCTGGAAACCCAGGGCTGGCTACAAATGGGAGCTGGGCCAGATGGGATGGAGGAGGGGCCCCTAGGAGGCTGTGGCCCGCACGGGGGGTGGGATGCAGAAGATGGGCATGGAGGCTTGGGTGGGGCTGGTGGGCAGGAGATGGGTGTGAGAGGGGCGACGCTGAAGGAAGGAAAGACATAGGGCCTCTGCTCGGGGCCCTGGATGATATGTCTATAGGCCACCTACACGGAACCGTCTACATGGAAAAATCTGTTGAGAAGCTCTGGATTTAAGAAGAGGGTTTTTGGTTTCAGAATTCCTTTCCACTCTCACAAACTATTAAGGACCCCCCCCCATTTTGTTTATGTGGTTTATATCTATCTGTCGATATGTACTTTATTAGAAACTAAAACTATGAAATTTAAAAATAATCATTTACTTTCAAAATCAGGGTAAACCAATCATGTTAGCATAAATGATGTATTTCATTATGAGAAAGAACTCTATTTTCCAAACCACCAAAATTTGTAAGAAGACTGGCACTGATTTATATTTTTGCAAATCTCTTTAATATCCAGCTTAATACAATACAGCTGGCTTCTCATATCTGCTACCATGTTCAAGCTGTTGGCAATATCACAATGACATGTAGCTCCTGGGATACTTCAAGGTACACTTGTGAAAGGATGAGTGGAAGAAAAAGCAAATTACAACTTAGCATTTATTAGGGAAATAGTTGTACCTTATACACTCCCTGGGAGGGTCTTGGGCTCCCTCTGAGCCACACTTTGAGAATCACTGAAGCCGACTCAGCAAATGTTCTGAGTTCCCACAGTGCTTTACCAAACAGCACGCAGGGCATTTATCTCACAGGTTTACAGCTGTGTCTGCCTGGTGCTTAGCAAGAAGTCTGAGCTGGAAGTGCAGTTGTGGGTTCATGATCTAGGGGGCTGGTGGAGAGCATGAGGGGGAGGGAAGATGGCCTGGGCAGGACCCCGACATTGAACAAAGGACCAGAAGCTAAGCAAAGAGCTGGAAAGAAGTAGGAGACCTGGGTGAAGTTGTGCAACCTAAGGGAGAAGAGAGTTTCAAGAAGGAGGTGGTCCAAAATTTTTGGATTTAAAATCCCAAGTAAGGATGTGGGCCACAGAGCCAAATGCAGCAGAGAGGCTGCCCAAGGCAAGGAGTGGAAAGATGCTGCTGGCTTTGGCAGTTAGGAGGTCACTGGTGACCTTGAGGGCAATTTCGGTATGGCAGTGATCAGTAGGCCAGGCGGGTAGCAACGGACAAGTGCTGGCTGCAGCAGAGACCTCTCTATTCAGGAGGCAGTGCAGTCGCTCAGTCGTGTCTGAATCTTTGCAGCCTCATATACTGCAGCACACCGGGCTCCCCGGTCCATCACCAACTCCCAGGGCTTGCTCAAACTCATGTCCATCGAGTCGGTGATGCATCCAACCATCTCATCCTCTGTCATCCCCTCCTCCCGCCTTCAATCTTTCCCAGCATCAGGGTCTTTTCCAATGAGTCAGTTCTTCATATCAGGTGGCCAAAGTATTGGAGTTTCAGCTTCAGCATCAGTCCTTCCAATGAATATTGNTTCTAACTGTTGCTTCTTGACCTGCATATAGATTTCTCAAGGGGCAGATAAGTTGGTCTGGTATTCCCATCTCTTGAAGAATTTTCCACAAGAATTTTCTATCCAGGAGGCTGGTTGACAAATGTCTGTGACCTGCCAGCCCCAGGCATTGTGAGTTCTACTGAGGTTCTTGCATTAAGGGAGAGGCTCTGCAAGACAAGAGGAGGCCATGCTGGGAACCTAGAAGATAGTGTGTTGCAGAGGATTCCAGTAGGAGGCTAGGAAATGAAGAAGAAGACAGGGTGGAATGATAGATGTGTGTGAATGTGTGTTGAGCACCGTTTGTAGGGGAAACATCAAAGACCACCTGAATTTCCATCATTTGGCATATGGATAAACACCATACATTCTTTCATTTGTTCATTCATTTGACAAATATGCATTGAGATTCAGCTGTGCCGGGCACTATTCTAAATATGGTGGATAGGGTGGGCAGCCAAACAGCTAAACTGGAAGGGTAAGATTTCCAAAATGAATCTTTAATAAGAAAAGCGACTTGCTGAACAATAAATCCAGTATGATACTCTTTGTGTAAAAACGACCTCCCTTAAATAGTATGTGCATGTATCTGCTAGACATGCAAGAAAATGCATAGAAAAAGTGCTAGAAGGAGACAGGAGAGGCAAGTAGGGTTTGGGGTTTATAGGAAGAGACTTTATATCTTTTCATTCATTATACTTCCACATTGTTTCAATTTTTCATAGTCTATAGATTTTCAGGATTATCTCTGTATTTTAAAAGTTTTTTGAAAGATATAGGTCTTTGTGAGTAGAAAAGAGAGATCCAGTCTGTCCAGAGTGTTCCTTTTGACTCAGTCATATTTTTCTTGTAAACATCTGTCAGGCTGCAGCCTCCTGCCCCCAACTACCCCAAAGGTGCAGGCCAGGAAGTGACAGTTGGGTGGAAAGAATCAAATGTGAGTTAGGACCTCTTATTTTAGAGGTTCAACACTATCTGAATTAACTGCTATGGAAAACTGTTGGTGCGCAGATCTGAATTTCGGTCAAAGCATGTGTTTCTGGGAATAGAATTCACGAGGGTGTTTTCCCCTGTTTAACTCGAGGAGTTGTATTAATTTGCTATGGATGTCATAACAAAATACCACAGAGTTGGTTTTTATTTTGGGTATATATGGGCTTCCCTAGTGACTCAGATGGTAAAGAATCTGCCTGCAATGCGGGAGACCCGGGTTCAATCCCTGGGTCAGGAAGATCCCCTGGAGAAGGGCGTGGCAACCCACTCCAGTATTCTCGCCTGGAGAATTGCATGGATAGAGGAGCCTGGTGGGCTACAGTCCAGGGTGTTGCAAAGAGACGGACACTACTGAGCGACTACCACTTTTAAGACCTCTATATAATATGTAAACAATCGGCCCTCCATATCCTCGAATTCAACCAATTGTGGATTAAAAATGTTAAAAAAAAAAAAAAGAATCCCAGAAGTTTCCTAGGCCCTGGGAGGCCTAGCCCCTCACCTGCCCTGGGCCCTGTCCCCCTTCCCTGGCCTGGTGGGGCCTGACTGAGGGGCAAGACTGAGCCATGGGGGACGGGGAATCCCTACCTGCTGCTGCTTCCTCTGTCGTCACTGACCCCCTTCTCCCCTGAACCCCTAATCATACTCAAAGAGTTCCTAAAGCCTGAGACCTGGGCCATACAAGCAAAATTTTCCTTTTCCGTGTCCCAGCAACTATTTACATGGCATTACACTGTATTAGGTATTATAAGTAGTGCAGAGAGGCTTTAGAGTCCTGGCGGATATGGTTAGGTTATACATAAGTACTAAGCCATTTTGTATAAGGAACTTGAGCATCCATCCAGAGTTTGTATCTTCAGCGGTCCTGGAACCTTCCCCCCAGCAGAGGGATGACTTTGTGTTAGTGGCTCGGTCGTTTCCAGCCCTTTGTGACCCCGTGGACTGTAGCCCACCAGGCTCCTCTGTCCATGGAATTCCCCAGGCAAGAATACTGGATGGGTAGACGTTCCCTTCTCCAGGGCATCCTCCAGACTCAGGGATCGAACCTGGGTTCCTGCATTGCAGGCAGATTCCTAACCGCCTGATCCACTGTTTTTAACATTTAACATTATCGCCACCATCATCATCACCTCCTCGAAGTTCTGGTGGCTGGAAGTCCGAGATCATGGTGTTGGCAGGCTGGTTTCTTCTGAGACCTCCTCCTCAGCTGGCTATTGGCCTTTTCCCGCCACTGTATTTCCTCACTGCCTCCCTCTGTATTCATCTGTGTCCAACTGTCCTCTTTGTATGAGGACACCAGTCACACTCAATTAGGGCCCGCTCCGCTGACCTCCTTTTAGCATAATCACCTCTTTAAGACATTATCTCCCAATAGTCACATGCTGAGGGGTGGGGTGGGGATAGGGCTTCAACTTGGTGGGACACGGTCCAGCCACAGCAGAACCTCAGAGGCACTTCTGTGGCCTGGACATGAATGTCCCGAGCTGTGGGTGGCCTGCTCAGGCGGGTGACCCTCATGAGGGCCAGGAGTGGGGTGAAAGCCTGGGAGAGCCAGCTAGGAAAGGCAGCGAGATTGCATCTGCGGCTCACCAGCCACACCGGCAACTGAAACTCCCCAGGGCACAAGGCCCCGATGTGACTTCCTGACAGATCGGGGCGGGTGGGGAGCACACGTAATCGGCCTCCAGCGGCCCAGCAAATACCTGATGGATGCCTCTTCTCTCTAGCTCATGCCGGCGGGGCTCTGCCAGGAGGAAGCCGGCGGCAGGACCCTCGCAGGGGCCCCGGCTGGCGCAGCATGGAGCGCTCGAGCAAGATGGAGTTCTTCCAGAAGCTGGGCTACAGCCGGGAGGACGTGGTCAGGGTGCTGGGCAAGCTGGGTGCGGACGCCCTGGTCAATGACGTGCTGCAGGAGCTGATCCAGACGGGCAGCCGGCCCAGCGCTCACGAGGGCAGTGCCGCACCCCTGCTCGTGCCCAGGGGCTCCTGCGGGACGCCGGACTCTGCCCAGTGCGGGCTGGGAGCGGACCCCGGAGAGGACAGCGGAGGCCCCGCCAGCTCCTTGAGACCTATAGTGATCGACGGCAGCAACGTGGCCATGAGGTAGCGTCCTTCACCCCTTCTTGTTGGTGGTTTGGTCTAAGGAGCTTTGGAGCCAGTGGGTGGGGCTCGGAACCCCCGGTTCATCCCTCAGTAGCCCGTGGCCTTAAGTCAGTCAGTTCACCGCTCTGAGCCTCACTTTTGCCATCTGTAAGATGGGTCTACAACCTCCCTAGAAGGTAGTCCTAAGAACTGGAGCTGCCGGACATGCCTAGGGCAGTGCTGACACAGAGTAAGTATTCAACAGAAGGCAGCTATTCTCACGTTAAGGCAGTGGGGGCTCTCGTCCCCTTTTTATCCCAGCAGGGATAAATGGTGAGGAGTCTAGAGCTGGGAGAAGGTGGCTTTCGGTCTGGAGTCTGTCCCTAACCGGCCGCATGACCCTGGGAAAGCTGGGTATCTCAAGTTTCCCCTTCTGTGACACAGGTCAAGAGACAGCTCTTTTGCTTCCCTCAAGGTTATGAGAATCAGATGGAAAATGGACTTGAACCGCCTTGAAAGCCCTCTGCTGGGGGTGGGGCGCAGNTCTAGAGCTGGAAGAAGGTGGCTTTCGGTCTGGAGTCTGTCCCTAACCGGCCGCATGACCCTGGGAAAGCTGGGTATCTCAAGTTTCCCCTTCTGTGACACAGGTCAAGAGACAACTCTTTTGCTTCCCTCAAGGTTATGAGGATCAGATGGAAAATGGACTTGAACCGCCTTGAAAGCCCTCTGCTGGGGGTGGGGCGCAGTGGTGTAGGTGGTGGAGCTCCCTAGCTAGGGTCGGGGGTGGCGTTTGTGGTTCCCCCGCCCCCCAAGCTGCAGACCCAGTAGTTACACTGGTGCGTTGGCATCTTTGTGTGTTGCGGTGATGAGAGCTCCAGGCCGGGCCTCTTCTTTCCTGGAGAGGTTAAGTTCTGCTGAGAGAGGGATTCTACAGCCTCACCCACACCCACCACTGGGCTCGGAGAAGGCTTTGCCCAAACAAGTGCATTACTTTACTGTTTGGCTGAGCTACAGCCCAGCCGAGGGCAGAGCCATAGGAAGCCGGTCATTCAGAGCCACACATAGATGCACATCCCTTTCCAAAAGCTGAGCCACGGTGGGCATGGAGAAAACCGGTGTCACCACTGCTGAATATGGCAACAGGGGATTCTTTGGCTGAGGAGCTGAGTGCTTTTCCCTGGGAATTTGGGCTCACTCTGGATTGGGTGCTGCAGGACAGAAGTTTGGAAGGGTTAACTCAAGATGGCCCAGCCTTGGGGGTGGTTCCTTGCTTGTGTGTAGTGCAAGATTGTTCAAACATTCTTTCAAGTTTTAGCCACCCAGGTCTCCCTGAGCTTGATTATATCAACAGGCAATAGAGCCCTGCTCTCTCTCCCTGTGGCCTAGGAGCTGGTCCTCGGGTCTGGAAAGCATTCTCACACATGCTCTGTGTAGGCACCAGGTAGGCGAGCCTCTGAAATCCTGATAATTCAAGATCCCTGGAGGGAGTTAAAGGGATTTTTAAGAAGTCAGTAGTTTCTGAGGGTCCTAGGAAGAAAGTCTGCTGGGTTCTGAGAGGTGGCCTGTCCTCTGTCTGGTCTGGATGAGGCATCTCTTCTTCTGGATATCAGTAGGAAGGTATCCTCTCACATTTAAAGTGAGATGGTTGTTGTTCCGTCGCTCAGTCATGTCTGACTCTTTGTGACCCCTGGGCTACAGCACAGCAGGCTGTCTTTCACTATCTTCTGGGGTCTGCTCGAACTCATGTCGGTGATGCCATCCAGCCACCTCATTAAAGCAAGAACTACAATCCCATAGCCTCCAGAATGAAAACCACAATCACAGAAGATCAACCAAAATGACCACATGGATCACAGCCTTGTGTACAGTGAAGCTATGAGCCATGTCATGCAGGGCCATCCAAGTCAGATGGGTCACGGTGGAGAGTTCTGACAAAACGTGGTCTGCTGGAGAAGGGAATGGCAAACTACTCTGATATTCTTGCCTCAAGAACCCCTTGATAAAATGATATGATGCTGTTTAATTCAAGGACCTTTTCAGCCTTAAGATTATATGAACTCTTTGATTCCAGCTCAGAAAAGCAGAGTGGCTATAGGGTGAAAAAACTACTTTAGGTGCTATAGGAAAGCATTCTCCCTTCGGGGGCCATTTTTTAGGAATGGTTACAATAGGGTGGTTGTGGAGCGTTTTCTATTGATGAAAGTCTCTGTTGCTGCTTGGAATTCAAATTTAAACCACGTCCTCTATTTGCATGTGACCTTGAGGTGTTCCAGGTAAATTCTGGGAACATGGGGGTTTAGTCTCACCCCACCCCCACATCCTACAGCTGTAATTGGTCTAGTTTATTCATGCTCAGTCTGTGTGGGTAACAGAGAGAAACCATCTCTCAGGCTTATCCTGAAGAATGTGTCAGAACATTAATTATTTCACACTTATGCTGTCTTAAAACCACCTCAAATGCCCAGAACACGTGTATCTGTGTGTGTTCTCATTGTGTGTCTGTACATGTATGCACATATACACAAACATCCCTTCCCCTGCCCCCTGCATCCCATTAGTTGGGAAAAAATTTTCACAGCTACCACCTATGCATGGGACTTCATTGGTCCAAAGGCACATCTAGGAGAGAGTGGGTCAGACATTCAGCTGCAGCCCTGTTCCTTCTCCTGCAACAATGCCTCCTGGTCCTCCAGCCAGAGTTCAACAGGATCCCTTGACCTCAGACTTTGCCTGGTTCTCAGTTATGAAGGATAGAGTAGATCCCAGAGTGGGGTGCAGCTTCAGTGGGGCTAGGTGGTTGAAACCCAGTGTGGAATCTAGTTGCTATTTCTTGACCTCAAAACTCAGTTAGCCTGAAAATTCTCCTTTGCTGAGGTTTTGTAGTATCGCAAGTGTTGCCATTCTCTGCTTTTGAAGATGCTTCTGCTTCATGTGCTGCCTGGTCCTGGAAGGAGGGGGAGGAGCTTAAAAGAGGTTGGGATGCGTGTTCCTTTTTGTCCTGAGCAGGCGGGAGGCGTGTCTTCTGTTGGCAGTAGCATCCTCTAGGGTGCCTGTTGTCGACTTGCTATCTGGGGTCTGTCCTCTGAAGTCTGCCTTTGCTCACGAATAGCCTCATTTTTTCTTTTCTTTAAACATTAGCTCAGGGCTACTTTATTTTTAAAGTTTTACTTCACTTTTCAAAAAATTTCTAATTGATGTATTTTTGACTGCACTAGGTCTTCGTTGCTATGCAGGCTTTTCTCTGGTTGCAGTGAGGGGGTTTTCCTTGTAGTTGCAGCGTGAGGACTCTCCGTGGTGGCTTGTTGTGTTGGGGAGCAAGGGCTCTAGGGCTCGTGGGCTCAGTAATTTCGATTTCCAGGCTCTAGAGCACAGACTCAATAGTCGTGGCACACAGGCTTAGCTGCTCCGTGGCATGTGTCATCTTCCTGGACCAGGGTCAAACTCGTGATTTCTGCATTGGCAGGCAGATTCTTTACCACTGAGCCATCAGGAAAGCCCCAGCCTCACTTTTCAGTCACAGTTGTTTTTTTTTTCTTCTCATTTTCTTTTGGAAGTTGTGTTTCCTTAAAGATCAAAATCTGTATTAGTTTCTATTGCCGCTATAATAAATTACCACACAAATGTAGTGACTTAAACAGCTCTAGTGTATTGTCTTGCAGTTCTGGAGGTCTGAAGTCTGGCCTGAGCCTCCCTGGGCTGAAATCAAGGTGTTGGCGGAGCTGTGTTTCCTTCGGGGAGCTCTAGGGGACGATGTATTTTCTTGCCTGTTTTGGTTTCTGGAGGCCATCTGCATTCCTTGGCATGCAGCCCCTTCCATCTTCCAGAGTAGCAATGGCTTGAAATGATGTACACAATGTGGAATCAGTATACATATCTGTGGTTTCCTGGGGGGAAGATCCGCAGCTTCCAGTAGATACTTAGAGGGTCTGTGACCCCCAAAACATAAAGAACCACCAATGAAGAATGAGCAGTTGTAGGTAGTGTCATGCTTTATGGGAGGTGCTAAGCCTCTCCATTAGCTCAGAGAACATGAGAGGGGGGTCATCTGTCCTTGCCTCTGGACATTTACGTTGAGAGAAGAAGCACAGGAAAGACCTAGATGGGCTTGGCCAAGGTCAACACTGACTCCATCAGACCCTGGCTCCATCCTTGTGCTCTGACCTTGCCACCACTGTAGAAGTTTCCATGGGCCCCTCTCCCTAGGTGAGCCCAAGGCTATCTGTCGTGGCTGAACCCAGCCTGGGGTGGCTGCTCTCTGAAGAGTGGCAGCAAGGGTCACTGACCAAATGCTTTTTAAAAGAAGTGGGAATGTATTTGTTCTGAGCACACAATTCTGTTCAAGTCATTTCAATAGGACTATACCACCCATTTCCAAGAGTCTTCCATCTCCCCACTGTAACAACAAAAGGAGTCTATTTGGCTCTTATAAATGGGAGCATTCATTTCATTTATCACTCCTAAGTGGTAGGTCAACTTCAGTGAGAATTCTATCCATAAGTTGCAGGGGTGCAGGCATAAGATGGTGACCTGGGAAGCCAGACCTTATGCTTGCCCCTAGTTTTGCCTAGTTTGGGTTCCCTGGTGGCTCAGATGGTAAAGAATCTGCCTGCAAAGTGGGAGACCTGGGTTTGATCTCTGGGTTGGGAAGATCCCCTGGAGGAGGGCATGGCAACCCACTCCAGGATTCTTGCCAGGAGAATCTCATGGAGAGAGGTGCCTGGCAGGCTACAGTCCATGGAGTTGCAAAGAGCTGGACACGACTGAGCAACTAAGCGCCGTTTTGCCAAATCCCTTGTATTTCATGTAGGAAACCAGGGAGGTCAGAAGCAGGCCCAGAACATGCGGCTTAGAGTCTGAAGACCTGAGTTCTGGCCTCTAACCTCTGTGTGTGTGTGTGTGTGCTCAGTCGTGTCCGACTCTTTGCAACCCCACGGACTGTAGTCCCCCTAGTTCCTCTGTCCATGGAATTTTCCAGGCAAGAATATGGAAATGCATTGCCACTTCCTACTCCAGGGGATTTT